GGGGGTTATTGAGAGTTTGTGGGGGAGGTTAAGTAAATAATGGGGTGATGTTGTCTTGATGTTAGGGTAGATGGAGTCTCGTGACTGTCTTAGATTTCTCTGGGAGTATTCTACGGATCTCGTTTTTCAGTGAAACCTGTCCGCGAAGAATATAGTTGACAAGCACTTCAGTAGACCAGTACAAAACACTCAGCAACCCGGTATATCTCCTACTCTGCACTCCCCTCGCCCTTCCCAACCAAGAACTCACTCACGGCCCTCTGCCAGACGGCCGCGCGCTTGTAGAAATGGAACCCCGGCGAGCTGCCCGCCTTCAGCCCGGCGATGGCCTCCACCATTCTTGGCCCATTGCCTTCCTCCTTGATCTCCTGCAAGGGATACATATACGTGCGGACCACAAACACCACCGCGTTGGAGCTGGGCAGCCGGAAGAGCACCTGTCTCTCGCACCGTAATCGAGCCTAGAACCTTCATCAGCCATCGACATTTCCTTTCCAATCCGCCTCCTCCACCGGGAGCAAAGGGCAAAAAGACAAACCTTCTCAGCATCCAACACCTTCACCTCCTCCACCGTCTCCCCCTCGTACAAATGCATACTGTCGGCGGCATGCAGCTCCCCGTCCACGGACACGGTCCACTTTCATCCCCGGATTAGCAAATACCATCCTACCCCACCAAAGAAAATCAAGAGTAAAGGCAGGAAAGACATACATTCGCCCGCTTAACAACAGTCCCCACCGCCAACCTCCCCAGATACCGATCCATACTCCCCCTCAACTTGGCTGTGTAATCCGGCACGGGGACGTGGATCGCCGCCAACGATTTGGTGAATTTATCCGCCCAGCTGAAGCCGTTCGGGAAGCAGCCGATGAACGCCTCGAGCGACATCTGCTTTTTTTCGTCCGGGTGGGGTTCCGTTTTTGGCCCGGTGGTGGGTGCGGGAGGGAGAAGCAGCAAAAGGTCCTCCTCGACTTGGCGGCCGATGATGGCGAGGGCTTCTTCGGGGTCTGTGGGGGGTGTGCAGGGGATGGTTTCTCCGGTGATGGTGTTGGTGATTGATTCTGGGTGGTTTGGGGATGGTGGGAGGCGGTGGAAGATAGCCCCGTATCGCTGCGGGAGGTAGTCATTGACCAAAAAGTTGTAGAGCTCGCGGACGGCGGGGACGGCGCGCGGGGTCGTGCCCAGCACGGCGGTTTTCTTGTGTTGGATGAGGGCGGTGCGGAGCTGGATGCGCGAGAGGTAGTGTTTGTCAATTTGGACTATCTCGGAGAGGGTGGTGGTTTCGATTCCTGGTCTTTGATTAATGGTTGTTTAGGCTAGAGGGCAATTGAGGATGGGGTCTACCCATTGTAATGTGGTAGCGGGGTTTGAAGGGCCGGAGGACGAGAGGTTCGGTTTTGGTCCAGTCAAAGTCAACGAGGGGGTCGATTCGAGGTGTTGAGAGATTCTTCTTGGGGTCATCATATGTTGGAGCTGGGCTTCTTCTTCGAACAAGATGTAGTGCGCAGAGTAGGAGTAGGCCTGCGCTGAGATATGGCCAGTGGGCGGTGACGAAGTGAATAAAAGGCATTGAGAAGGGGTCGGCGGTTGCCATGTTCATCGAATATAGGTCGTATACACTGTACTCAGATGGACAAGCAAATGATGTGAGCTGTTTCAACACTGTTGCGATGGTTCCCCGGGAAGAGGCTGGTATTTACATTGGACTCTGATGATAAGTGATATGAAGATGCGGGGAAACTCCCCCTCATAAGACTACATCACACCCTGTTATCAAGCCTGCATGATAACGCATTCTTACACCGAATGGAGACTAATGAGCCACCGTCATCGGCACTGAAAGAGCAGTGATGGTTGTGGTGCCCATGTGCAGGCGTACATTCATGCTCGGTGTCGGTGCGGGAAGATGATTGGCTCATGTCGCCGAGGTAGCTGCATACTCTAACATCGCCCATATGAAGCCACTCCTCGATCCCTGCGGTCCTGCCTCCTCACCAGACTCGCAGATAAGTCCCCAGCCTCCGCCACAGCGGTCGTCCATAGTAAGTATCCAACATCCGCAACTCCTCTGTACTCAGTTCCCGAAGACCGGTAACCAGATCCGCCGTCGCAGGGTCCCTCCAAGGTGTCCGTCGAAGGATCTTGTAGGCGATGGTAAATACCACGATGAGGATCAATCCGATCGTAGCTGAGAAAAAGCTGTACGCTGTAAAGCCGCCTCCGCTCTGTTATATCGTATATTTAAGGCCCGGTTTAGCGATAATCTCTGCGTAACCTTGACCTTCCCGAGGAATAATGAAAAGACGACGGGGGACGAAAACTCACCACCGGCTTGATGCTCGTGTAAAGAAGACAGACCAACAACACGCTTGAGACCGCAAGACTGGTCACGGGGGCGAGAGGCCACAATAGCGACTGCCACGCATATGGAGTCTCGAACAGTGGACTCTGCTGTGCTCGCATCGCAGCCCGGAAGCGAAACGAGGTGACCGCGATGATCGCCCAGTTGGTAAAGAAGGAGGCGCTGGTGATGGCGATCAGCCCAGTTAAGAACCTCCGTGCCGCCGGCTATACGCATGGTCAGCATACAATGAGAATGCACAGAAAGACAATGTGGACGGCATACCGCTCAAACTCATATACGTCAGAGCCACGCCCGCGACCGCGGTGATGGCCAGCGCCCACCTCGGCCGACCCTTCTTATCCACCTGCGCCACAAAAGCGGGCAACAGTCCCTGGAGAGACATGGTGCGGAGAATCCGCGACGGCAGGAAGATACACTCCAGCGCAATCGCCAGAATGCCGATGATCATGCACGCGTTGATCAGGTCTGGGATACCGGGGATGCCGGCGTCCTGAACGGCGATGACAAACGGCGACGAGGCCACGCTCGAGCCACCCAGCAGGCGGGAGTCGGTGGACGGCACGATCAGGGAGACCAGTACGACGGACACCAGATAGAACACGGCGACGCGCCAGGGGATGAGGTTGGATGCGTGCGCCATGGAGTAGCGCGGGGATTCGGCCTCGCCGGCCATGACCCCGATGAAGACTTGATCGCCGATGGCCCAGATGGCGAGCAAAGCGGCGTTGGAGAAGCCCTATATGGTATGGTTAGGATTGTATAAGCAAAGAAAAGACATTTTGGGGGATGAAGTACTCCGAAGCTGTTCTTGAAGGCGGGCAGATCGGTCCAGGTGCTGCCGTCCCGTACGTATCCTGTCGGACCCGCGCCGCCGATGATGGCCAGCGAGATGATCGTGATGAAGACGAACAAGAAAGCCTTGACCAGTGACCCAATGTATTCAAGCCAGCCGAAGAAGCTGTTTGGCACGAGGAATACCACAAAACAGACTACCAAGAAGATGGTGACTGTGTATAAGGCCATCAGCCACATCATCCTCAAAACAAGACAAATCAATCGATAGAAAAGAAGAGGTCCCCATGAGCAGGCAAGGAAGTAGAACAGACTCACGCAAGGCAGCCTCCGGCACCACATCTCCCGCCCAGAAATTCACCAGGATAACCAGAAACGTCCCCTCGGACGCAAACACCGAGGTCCACCCTATGCAGACCGGCACAATCAGCCCATCTCCACGCCCCATACCCACAGCGAAGACAGCAACTCACCAAGCCACTCGGCGAACCCAGCCCCGAACGCCAACGCCGGATCCACCCACCGATCCGCATAGTCGATATAATTCCCCGAGGTCGGAAACGCGACCGTCATCTCTGTCAACGTCTGCAGGTTGGCCCAGACCCCGAGGCAGACCACGAGGTAACCCAGGAACATGTTGCCGGGGCCGCCCTCCGCTAGGGCTTTGCCCGTCGCGATGAAGAGCCCGCTTCCGATACTGGAACCCAGGGAGATCACCTATGCAGTCCATGATGTAAGTGATGCGGCTTACTGGGGTAGCCCTGGATGGGAAGAATATGCGTACATGGATCATCCGCGGACTCAACGTGCGATGGAGATTGCCATGGGTTGTCTCGTCGCTATCGACCTGGCCCTCTGCGATAGACAGAGCAGGGTCCAGATCCAGTTGTTTCTCATCCACTTTGCTGGAAGCAACATTGTCACCCCCAAGATGGTTTTCTTCGTGCTCCATATTCTCCTATCTTGTTGTTGGTGTGGCCGACAGCCATCCGAGGCTGAAGCCCGGAATATCGGAAGCAACCCCTTCATATACTATTCACCCGAATCCAGGGGAAGTGAATAAAATCAGGCCAATCTGGACAAAGCAAGGATCTCGTATCGCGGCAGAAGGCTATCTGCGTCTAGATTTCGGTGTCGCTTGCCAATTGCAGATTTCCCCGCACGTGATAAGAATCAAGGGGGAGAGGGGTGTTGCTTATCGTGAGGGGAAATGCGGAGATATGATGAATGTTCCGGCCTAGTGGGCCAGTCATGTCGCTGTAGACCAGATTTTGTCTCTCATATTGATCTCCGTCTGCGCTAAGTCGATCGTAGATGACCAATGAGAACGAAAAGAACAGACGGCTTATCAAGATACTTTCGTCATACAAGAAGCTCCCTCTCTCTCTCAGCTTAGCACCAACACCCTTCGATTCTTGGAATTGAACAGCACCTGGGACCAGGCCGCATCCTGCTTGCCAGGACGCCTCCGCGCCTCCCAGACCTGCCGCATGGCCTCCAGCGCTACAGTGTACATCCGGATCCCCGTCGTCTGGGCGGCGATATGCAGCCACCGGGCAAACTCCCCCTGTAGCTGAGGATCCAGTGCTTCACAGCCAGCAATAAACGCGGGCCAGCAAGTATCTGCTGATTGGTCATTGAGCCTGTGTCTGCAGTCATCGTATGCAACCAGATGGAGCATCACGTCGCGGACATACGATTGAAGGATGACCGCGTTGACGTTCCGATGGCCCGGTGGAAGTGGATGATCAGGGCTTTGTGGACCGCCTGGACGAGGTGGTACGGAGAGCGCTCCGGTGGGGGCCTTGGAGATGCACCGTCGACGTCCTCGGTGCCGTACTCCCAACTGCAAATTCGAGCCTCTAGAATTCTCACACTTGCTAGAAGCGTACTCGGATGTACTGGCTCTGAAAAGTCGCGCATAGTTGATCTTCCCAAACTGGATGCTAATCGCGTTGTCGCGGCGATGAGCTCAAACAGCGACTGCGGTAGAGAGTAAATATCCTCAAAAGGGGACCGGAATTTCGGATCAGAGTCCTCCAAGTCCCGGACCCAATTGTCTGCAACAGGTACGTAGACAGGGCCAACCATGTAGTCCATCGTGGAAATCTGCAGTGAGTGCGCGAGGGGGTCGAAGGGCTTCTCAGCCCTATCGCCCGTCGCGACGGCATCCGAGTCCAGGTTCTTAAAGCACGAACTCTCCGTCAACACACGAGTGTAGAGATAGATACTGTGTAGCATGCGCACTTTCACCGATCGGCCGACCTTGCGTGTTCCGTACCGGTGGATGATCTCCTCGATGTCGCGCAGGTAGTGTGCTGCGTAGTTCATGTTGCCGCTGACTATCTGGCAAAGGTTAGAATTACAGTTGCAAACTATTTACACGCTCCTTAGGACATACACAAATAGTCACCATACTCAGCAGTGCCATGAGGATATCCTTGTACTTGTCTTTCTTTGTCCCGCCGGCGGACAGGTCCCGTAGGGATCTTTTTAAGCGTGCAGTAGCTCTCGCACGATACGTGTTCCCGAGGAGGCGGGGGCTTGCATAACAACCCCATTCATCTTCTAACAGTGTGTTTTCATGTAGACTGTATGCACTAACTGCAAGGACCGAGAAGAGAAGGGACACTCTCGCGTTGCTGCTGTTCCCTTGGAGAAGGATCTCACCGATGGCACCGAGCATGCTGGGGATGTAGATTTTCTCCCAGGGGGACTTGGACTTGACACGCGCTGGGGCCAGGTAGTTGATAATGGTGTGGCGGTAATGATCCAAGAGGAGCTTGGCGGTAGGGGCCGTGAAGTCGACCAGGTCTTGTGGTGTCCGTCGTACGAATGGTATGTGTAAAGGGAATGCGAACTGGGGTGGGTTCAAAGCTGAGTATGCATGACTGGAGGTATCCATATGTGCTGCTATATTGGAGAGTGAGATTGCATCATCTGGTAGTCCATACATTGCCTCTGACATTGCCGGGTCGAGGCCTCCAAAGGCATTGGTGTCCGACCCTCCGTCAGGTTGAATGGGGGGCTTGTCATTCATGAACCGGAAAGCACGGAAAGGTCCAATGGACACGGTCTCATCGCTCTGGGAACCAACAGCCTGTTGGTCAAGCTCATTCAGAGCCGCGGCTATCGAGACGCTTCCCAAGACGCATACCAGATCGCCAGCATTGCAAGCGAGTTGGTATTCTACGCAATTCAGACTCTGTTACATCATAACAATCTCATCAAGTACCAGACAGGCCAGCTTACCTGTGAATAGAGGCTGCCGCCGTGCATGCAACTCCTCCACTTCACCCTCGCCATGAGGAGCATTGCGCGGCCGCAGCCAGAGTATCCGCGGTGGAGATTCCGGTCTCTGGCAATCAACACCCCGCATCTGACACGAGGAACACCGGGGTGTATTTCGGTCGCATCGCACCTTTCGAGCGTGACAGTTATGGCATGAGCCCTGTATCGTAGCCATTTGGAGGAGGATGTCGGGAAGAGGAAGGGCAAGCACCCAAAAGCGCTGATAATCCTCCCTGTGACGATTGGTCGGAGGGCGGGGTGATGGCCGTGATAACCTCTTATCGCGGCCCGAGATTCCAACTTTAGATGCGGGGAAGATAGTCAGCCACGGCTCCACATGCCACAAACATTCAACCACAACTAAACGTATCCAAGATGGGAAGCCAACTGAGGAGGAGGAATGGGTTTATATGCGCTGAGAAGGCCCTGAGAAGGCCTTGCTCTCTGGCACAACAACTCTCATCTCCAAGCCATCATGGCTGTCAAGATCCCTCAAGTGCAACGAATCGACCGCTCAGACGTGAATGCTATCATACAAGCAATCATCCAAGATGGCTGTTGTGTGATCAAGAACTTCACCGATGCAGCGACCATTCAAAGAGCGAACGCGGAAGTGCAGCCATATCTCGAGGCTGATAAACCATGGAAGGTACCTCACACCTCCTTCATCAACACCCCTCCCCTTGTCCGGTACTTCATCGCTATATCCCAAAAACAATCTAACAAGAACCTCCAGGGCGACCTCTTCCCCCCGGAAACCCGACGATGCACCAACCTAGCGGGCCGCAGCCCGACCGTGCGCGAGACCTTCCTAGTCGACCCGCTCGTCCGAGCCCTAACCGCCACCTTCATCGACAAGACCACCTCCAACTTCTACGGCGAGACGAAACACACCTACACCAGCGAGGCCATCTGCTCCATCGCGATGACCTTTGACATCGGGCCCGGCGCCCAGGCCCAGCGCCTGCACCGCGACGACAAGAACTACCACGTCGACCACGCGGATCAGTCCGCGGACGGGTACCGGGTGGGCTCCGACGTGATGATGGCGTTCATGGTGCCAGGGGTCCGGACCACGGTGGAAAACGGCGCCACCATCGCCATCCCCGGCAGTCATCTGTGGGGGTCCGACCGGGCGCCCCGGCTCGACGAGGCGGTTGCCGCCGAGCTGGACGTGACCGACTGCTGGGTCATGCTGGGCGGGCTGTACCACGCGGGCGGCGCGAATGTCACCGCCACGGAGCGCCGCATCGTGCATGGGATGTTCTTCTCGCGCGGGTTCCTGCGCCAGGAGGAGAACGTTTACCTGGCGAATGCGCCGGAGGAGGTGCTGTCGTGGTCGCCGGCAGCGCAGCGGGTCATGGGGTATGGGCTGTCGAGTCCGAATATTGGGTTCGTGGGGTTCCAGACGCCGGTGCAGTATCTGCGCGGAGAGGCGGTGGAGGCATTTGGGGATTTTGATCCGTCGCAGGAGCAAAGGGTGGGGAAGGAGAATGTGATTAGCGTTTAACTGGGTTGTAGCATGGTTTGATTGGAAATTTGATATTCTATCATTATTTTGAAGGTTTGGGTTGTGATTCAAAGGGTTGCAGTCGAGCGTAGTGAATGGGATAATAATGCGACCAACGGAGGGTAAAATTGGGTTTCAGCTACCATGAGTCAAGCGGAAGACTATTCTATAGGTAATTTTGAACTGGGTAAACAATGAAACGTTTTAGACAGTCTAGGAAGATTTGATTGATAATGTAATGAGTAGAGAAACAAAAAGAAAAAGTTAAAGCCCAACGCGGGGGTTGAACCCGCAACCTTGAGATTAAGAGTCTCACGCTCTGCCGATTGAGCTAGCCGGGCTTGTTTGTTGAAGCACAAACAATAGTAATGCGTTATAAATCAAATGTGAGCCTACAGAAGCATTATTTCTGCTTGTTGCCTGCCTTAATGTCCTGTAAGTATCAGGTAAGAAAAAATTGCTTGCCACCAAGTCAGGGCCATGATAATAGAGCAGGCGGTTTGTAACCTTGTAAAAACCCTCGAGCTTTTATCTGATTGCGTAACTGGCTGTGCCCGCGGTCCGTTCTGCTTGGTAAAAATATTGCATTCCTACTAACTAAACATATATTTGACCCTGCGGCAGAATCTGCCTGGGGTCACTCAGCCACCACCACATTTCCACAGGCGACAACATAAATGACCATGCTTACGAATAATGCTCCAAATCCCGCTACGCAACAGATGGACCAGAAGTGCCAAAAGCGCTAATGCAAACTTCCAAGGAATGCGGCCCGAGTAATGGGCACCATCACTTGACAACCCGAGATGCAGCTTCTACCCGACGTCAGCCCCGATGCTGCTCAACGCTACGTTAATCTATGACCAGCAGCCCATAATGCCCGTCGATGGCGACAACGTGACCAGTCCACTCGTGGCAGATACTTCAGTCATAGATATCTCCGCTTACGGTAGGAAAATGTGGCGTTGCAGAACAGATCATGCATGCAGGATGAGCCATACTGATACATAAAAAGTGCCCAGATCGCGAACAACGCGAAAGAAACTAACCTGCCCACATCTCGATACTGCCAGATTACGTGCTAGATCTATCTCTCCTCCTTGATTATAGTATTTCCTCGCACTGTGCCTAAAGTGTGTGAAGGACGTGGTCGCCCAGAGCTGGTGTCGCAACTTCCGCAAATGCCGCCAGCATGCAGAATCCTGTCGTAGCGAACTGACGTTGGCTGATAAATTGTAGATCTTGTAGTATGCTAGCAAGATGTCTGGGTTCAGTCCTGAGTTACCACTGCAGGTCCAGATATGTGACTACAGTGTTTTGTATTGGAAGCATATCCTTGCTGGCCGGACATCAAGAGCTGGGCATCTCAAACACTGACAACAAAAGGCCCTGTGCCAGCATAACATCCCAAGGTTGAAACAAATCCCCAGAAACACTGAAACAAGAGGAATGGGTAGTGTTCGAGATGGCTTAATGCCAAGCACATATCGTGTCAGAGAGCTGAGCTCAAGACAGCCCTACGTCCAATGTCAATGAGACATCTCCATAACACCATGACCACTCAGACTAGTCCACACATGAACCACATGCAAGCTGTTACCTTGGGCGACGATGAAACAAGCGTGGTGCCTGGTCAGGCTCTACGTGTAGGCAACCACCGAGTATGAAGTTGAGTGAGCCTGGGCAAAAAGATGAACACTCATTGTTGGCAACCCACCTGCCCAAGCCATTATAAAATAGACCATCTGACTCCTCTCTGTGACTTCCCCATCAACCATCACACATACACATCATACACCCCTGATTCCATCCACGATGGTCCTCCTCGAGCTCCCCTCCGCGGGGAAACTCATTGACCACCTCATCGCCAACCGCATCACAGAACTCAACAAAGACCCCTACAGCACACAGAGTGATCGCCCCTTCTTCATGGCCGACACAGGGCCAGTCTTGAAGCTTTACAACCGTTGGCAACGCGCTCTACCGAATATAGCGCCTTTTTACGGTCAGTGTCGTCCCCTGCTTCACAAAACAACCCCCCCCCCCTTTTCACGCACCCACACAGTCCTCCCACCGCAGCAACAGAATAGGCTGACCAGGGGTTTTTGACCCGCTAGCTGTGAAATGCAACTCGGATGCGCGCTTCCTGCGGTTTCTCGCCGACCTGGGCCTGGGATTTGACTGCGCCTCTCAGACGGAGATCGAGCTCGTCCTGTCCCTGGGCGTGGACCCCTCCCGCATCATCTTCGCGCATCCATGCAAGTCCATCTCCGCCATCCGCGTGGCCGCTGCTCGGGGCATCTCCCTCACCACATTCGACAATATGGACGAGCTTGATAAGATGAAGGCTCACGCTCCAAATATGCACCTGTTGCTCCGGATCTACGCGCAGGATGACACCGCCGCTGCGCAGCTGGGCAATAAGTTCGGCGCGCCGCTGGCATCGGCCGAGCCCCTGCTGCGACGGGCAAAGGAGTTGGGTCTTTGTGTGAGGGGGGTTAGCTTTCATGTTGGTATGTTATACTTTTTCTCTTTCTCGGATCTTTTCTATCTGCCGGTATCGGGCGATATTCAAAAAACCCCCACACGCGTGCACAGACAAACGGATAAGCGCATACAAGTGCGCAGTACACAAAATTTACAGACGCGCAGACATATACAAGCGCGCAGATACACGTACCATTCATTCACCTACCCTGGGTTATAACCCGCATCAACCCCACTAACAAACCCCCTTTATATCCACAGGCTCCGGCGCCCGCAACCCGGCAGCATTCACAACAGCCGTCCACCAAGCCCGACACGTCTTCGATCTCGCAACCCACCTCGGCCTACCACCCATGGACATCCTTGATGTAGGCGGCGGCTTTCAAGAGACCAACTTCGAAGAGATGGCCGGCCCCCTCGCGCGTGCGATCGACGGAGCCTTCCCCGACTCGTCCGCCGTGCGCGTCATCGCCGAACCGGGTCGCTACTTCGCTCGCACCCTCTACACAATGGCCTGCAAGGTGATCTCGCGGCGGCGGCAGCTGCAGCCGTTGCTCGACGAGTCTCAGCCGTACCCATCCCTTACCCCCGACATGCTATATCTGAATGACGGGGTGTACGGGAGTTTCATGTTGGCTTTGCTGGAGAATGAAGTCTTCGTACCTGACCCAGTCCCCATGAGAGGTGAGGAGAACGGAAGTCTGGAGCAGCGCGCGACGGGGCTGCATCCGTACTCGATCTGGGGGCCCACGTGCGATGGGATCGACTGTGTGGCGAAGGAGGTGGTGATGGAGGGGGAGGTCAAGGTCGGGGATTGGTTGGTTTTTCGGGAGATGGGTGGTGAGCTCTCTCTTTTTTTCTCTACTTTTCCTGGTTGATGCTTTCCGAGGGGCTGCTGACGCAGTTTGTTTGCGGATGTAGCGTACAGTGTGGTGAGCGCGACACAGTTCAACGGCTTCTCTAATGACTATGAGGTAATATACGCGAGCGACTATCTCGCTTCTGTGGGAGGGCTGGGAATGACTGCCGCTGCTGATGCTCCAGGAAAGGTTTGGAAGTATCTGGAGTGGTTCTTGCCTGGATCTATACGCGGATTGTGGAAGCTGAAGGCCTGAGGAGGTGGTGCGGGGTCTTGGTGGATTGTTCACCATTGAGGATTGACCATGGAGGGATTGTGTCCGTTGGTTCGGGTTGGTTTTGCACATAGAGAAGAAGCGTCGTAGCTGGAAGAGGAAAACTGGCGGGCTTGGTATTATTGTATCTTGAGATAGCCTATGTAATGTGTCTGGAATTCTGTCTTATGCACCTTACCTGCATTCTGCGTGCTATAATAGTAGACAGGATACTTACTCTAAGGTAGGTATAATGGAACACAGCATGTACAAGGGCTCTAAATATACAAGATCGACCTGTAGAACTTTTCATCACCACCTAATGCAAAGAGAAAATAAAAATTTTAGCGTGAGATAAGTGGCTGCTGATTCAGTGCTAGGCTGTGAATGTGAATTTATCCAGGTTTAGGCGCCTTGCGGAACACTTTATTGTTTGCCGCTCATAGAAGCACACAATAAGAGCGTTCTACAACAACGGGCAAGATGGCCGAGTTGGTCTAAGGCGTCAGGTTAAGGTTACCTTAGCATTCAGCTTCTACAAAGCTTCCTGATCATCGTTTGATGGCGTGGGTTCGAATCCCACTCTTGTCATAGATTTTTGTTGTTTTGTCGGCCTTCTTGGGTAGTGAGGCTGCCCTACTTATTAGTTCTTTTTTGTTTCTATGCAGAGCCTGCCCACCGAATCTCTCTGAGAGAGTTCCTGGCTGTTACCTCGTTGCTCCCAATATGGACTCATTCTTGTCGAAGTCAGAAACTGGTGGGAGAGCTGAATGAATTTCATGCCTATGAAGGTTCTTTTTACAGCAGGCTATTCAAATTTCCGGAGGACGTCGATGAGTGATCAAGTCAGGCCACATCAGGCTATATGAGCACAAACGCATCACATGGTGTGGTGTGAAGTGCGCAGCCTGGACATCAACGCCGCAGGCCGCAGACAGGACTATTGCTTCATAAAGAAATCCTGTAAACCCACTTGCAAGGGATCCCTCATTCTTCATCACCCATGGGAAACCCTTTGCTAAGCTTGGCCGTCACCCTCATGCTCCTGTACAGCGTGTTGATGTCTCAAGCCTGAGAAAACGGCTATCTTATCATATATACGACGAAACATGCTCCGGTGGCTAGATTGAGCCGCCTTTTTCTCATCTGTGTCGACTTCGTCGACTGAACCCTGAATGGCATTGGTTGGCTTGCTCGTGTCTTGCACCCCGAGCAGGTGGGCCAACTCGCCCGCCTTTCTAGCCAGGAAGACCTTCACCAGCGAGCCAATGCCCTGACTCTGTGGGTATACTTGTGTTGGAACTCTGATGACAAGCCATAAGAAAGCCACCGTGATCACCAAAGCGACGATTGCAGTAATCATCATGCCGAGAATGGCTGTATGGTCCGGCGGCCCGCTCATACTGAAGATACTGACGGCAAGCCCCACCGGGAGAAAGAAGACGGTGGCGTAGGTGAAGCGAGTAACATCCCTCGACTGGCTGAGAGCCTTCTCATTGTTCACCAGGGAGATCAGAAAGTCGACGTGCGAGAGCAAGCCATTGATCTCACGGTCATGCTTCGCCAATTCATTGGTTTGTTTTCGAAGAACCTTGCCATGCTTTTGCTCGTCGCTACGTGTCCAACGGGGCCTTTCTCTCCCCTGAGAACTCTCCCGCTGCCTCCAGTCGTCTATCAACGTCCGGACCCCATTGATACTGTCTTTCACCCTGCGTAGAACCTGGAATGCTTCATCCAGTAGCTCCTGCTTCCTGTTCTTGAAGCTCATGGTTGAGTACAGTTCTTCAGTCATACCCGATGCACTGGACCGAGAGTCTTGCTCAACCCTGCGCAGAATCTCCTTGGTGCTCTCGTGGAAATCGACCAGCAGATTGTTCAGTAAAGTCAGCTCAAGCACCTTTCTTTGAGTGAAACTGGGATTTTCCTGGCGCCAATCCTTCTTGAATAGGTTGTTACTGGCCGTTGAGGCCACCAACACATGACAAGTCCAGTGGCGGTCACACCAATCACCCACCATGATCGAACTGAAAACATCATCTACCAGGTACATCCCGTTACCGAGCGGCGGGCACAACTTCGAGGCTAACTGTCGGCTGTACCTTTCGCCTGGGGTAGCACCTCCCCTTTTTGGCTGCCTGTGTGCGTGCAATCTTTCCCAATTATACGTACCCCTGGAGATTGCTCTGAAGAAGCGACAATGGAATTCGGTCACCCACGAGTTGGTCTCTATCACAACATCATCATGGAAGGAGCTTGTTTGAATCTCGCGATGTTTTTGGATGAAAGACGCGAAGCTAAGTCTATCACGTTCAGCGGTTGCGAGGTAACAGATGGCAGACATCTCACATGTGGGTGATATGATATACACCACCCGCTTTTTACTGTCATCGAGCCGCCGTTTGCTCAGTAGATGGTTTGTGAAGAGGTCGAGCTTCACCTGCTCTATAAAAATAATCGAACGCTTTTGGCCAATCAGCTTTTCCTTATGGCTTTTGCGAACGTCAAGAACAATTCCTGATGATCCTGTTTCTTTTAATCGTACTCGTTGGCGTCTTGCTTCGGCCTGGATCTCCCTGTTATCAGACTGCAAATTTCCGATGTCTGTGCATATGATCGACGCATCGCCTTTCTTAAGACTCAGGGCATCCGAAGCATTCTGCACGATGAACTTCCTGTCTTCCAACTTATCGGGAGGGGTGAAGTCAAGGAAATCAGGTTCCTTGAAAAGCCACTCACCTGGCACATCCACGATTTTATTCACGTCGAGATATGTCCCGTACGGGTTTTGCCTTCGTAGGGTAAGTGGGACAAGCACCAGTTGTGTGCCGGATCGACTCTGAGAGCTTTGATCGTTTGAGGGTCTTGGATCATGATAGACCTGTTGCTGAGTGGTACCGGCTGAAGAATCACGAGCTTCGTGGTCTTGTTGCCCCTCCGCCGGAAAGGCCTTAGCCACATTGTGGTTTAGGGATTGCAAGAGAATGTTTGGGATCTCGAATCCGGCATGGAAATGAAAGTCCCGATCCTCCTCAGCTTCAAAAAGGGTTGCTTTTTTATCCTCGTTGAGGTGACCATAAAACAGGGCAGTTGTGGAAGACGAACCCAGCAGAACCCTTTTCGCTCGGTACTCCATTTGATCAGCCGAATTCGCCCATGCCAGCCGATATCCATGACGAGACCATAATAGAGCCAGTCCATACCGGAGGGGGTTGGTCCACTCCATCTCGTCACATAGGCTGTCATCGTGTCTTGTCTGAATTTCCAGCAGCGCCTTGATTAGGTCTTCCTGCCCTTCGAAGAATCCCCAAAGGGCTCCATAGTACAGCACGGTGTCTCGGAAATGGAGCAGAAACCGCGTTTCGCTGGCACTGCGAGTGACACTCAGCATGCGTTTGTTGAACACCTCATTTCGGACTGTGAACCTTTTGATGTTCTCTTTTCGTAGATCCTCTGAGTTGAAATAGATGTTTTGCTCGCGCTCTTCTGCGGGGGTTGCTTGGCGTCTCCCCCGCTTCTCGGCCATCAAGGTGAACATTCGCTCCCGCAGCTTCGAAAAATCATGGAGGACTGCACTTTCTATATAACCGGCTGACGGGTCATGGTTCCGAGATTCTATCCAATTCAAGACTTCCTCGATGCCTTTGAGCGCCTTCCATATCCACACATGATCCCCCAGCCGATAGTATGGAACATCGGAGCCCTGGAAGTGCTGCCAGGTGGGCGTCCGTCTGTTCTTTGTCTGATTCAGCTGTAGGAACCACTCCTTGCACATGTTTCCCAATCTTTTGCAAACAAATTCAAAGTCTTCTAAGTCATGAAACACCCTCAAGTACTCAGTTGCTTTGATGATGTGATACGGCATGATGGTAGGATTGTCATTCAGGACGTCGGTGCTGCTATCACCCACTTTGATAAGCTCGCCATCGATCCTAACATTAGCAGAAGAGGCCGCTTCAGGCTTCAGATTGAAGACCCACTCCAGGTGATCCTTGCATGTCCATTTGATTTTTCCGCACAGATCGGAGGTGTTCGGATGCATTTCAAGAAGTTTGTACATCTCCAACATGAACATGAATGCAAAGCTTATATAGTCAGACAGCGTGTTCGACGGTGATCTGCTTTCTCTTCACTGGTGGGAGGGGAAAACTCACTAGCCTCCTGATATGCTGACTCTATGATCCCCAGTATCGCCACAGGTGAGCGCTACACCTCGATTACCGGGAGCCGGGGTGGGGGAATTGAGCTTCTGTGCGGTTGAGGTATGCTTCATAGCGCTGGTAGTAGGTGTGTTCACGATCTTCAATGGTGTCTTATCAAGAGGAATGCTGCACACCGATAGAATATGCTCCAGATGGCGACGGCAATGCCAATTGACTCTATCCTCATAAGAGTCAAATGCGCCTAGTTGACCATCCGAGCTAGGTGACGGCTCCTTAGGCACTGTTGAGATTGCCAGTGAGATCCATTCGCCAGATGAGGCCACTTGCAACCTAAATGCTGCCGTGTACGTGACTTGAATTTCCTGGTCGACGAATACATGCTCCAAGGCAATGGGCTGGGGATCGCCTCCGAAAGTCCGAATTGCAGAGCCAGTACGGCTTTCAGTAGTCGAGGGCTCTGCGTGACCAGGTCTCGAATCGGGCCTCTCAGAGTTCCTGACCGGATGACTCTCGTTGTCCTTGAATAATCCCACAAGCACGCCGATCTGGCTCTGTTTAAAGCCCCCATTATGCTGGCCTTTCAATAAGAGACAGTTCTCGGCCTGAGACTCGCTTGATTGATCCTCACACATGTTCATATTTGGTGCCCACTGCATGTAATTCAGATCTTGCATGACGAAATTCATATCCAGACTCAGTTTTACTGCATCCGGGCCGTCGGTGCCTCGATCAATCAACATCTGCTGCACAACCATGCCATCCTGACACCAAGCCCGTACTGTGATGGAGAAGCCTTGCTTCGTCTTATACTTGATGATCGGCCAGCGATTGTCGACGAAGTCCAACGTGGATAGCTCCGGTTGAATGCTCTCGTCCAACCGCAGCCCGAACCCGGAGTGGAAATCATCGGCGTGATTTTCAAGACGGCTTGCTCGCGCCCAGACAAAGTATGCTTCTTCGCGGCTGTGTTCGAGACACAAGATCTTCGATTGGAAGACCCCATCCAAGCTACGACCACCAGAGTTCTGCTTGTCTGGATCATTCCCATCCTCTGGCTCGCTATCGTCTGAGTCCCTACCGTCTAGGTTGACCTGGTCGGGGCTCTGCTCGCCCGAGCTCAGAATAGGACAGCATATCCGCAGCAGGGAGCCGTACGCCCCCACAGTGGCTGTCAAGCCCTGATCACCGAACGAACCGTACGTCGCGGGGTCGGGCGCTGGATTCACCCAGATCCTATCAGTAACTTATCCCTTGACGTGCACCGGACCACATCGAGAACTATTGATCCTTACCCGTCTTCCAGTACTCATCTTCGGCCTTTTTCGGGGCCTTTTCAGGGACACTCATAAGGAACTTCGAGGACCGTCCTGGTGGCGTCGAGCGTATTGGGTTTGCGTCTGCTTGACAAACGAGAATCCAAGTCTTACTAAGCCTTCCACCGCAGTTGCTTAGGTGGAGTGAATCGTTGTATTATGGAGGGAGAAAGACCTTGATCGAAGATCGCGCGAGTCAAGGAGATAGTGTTCAGTCGGGGTTTCATCCAACCACCAACTAGAGTCCGGTCTTAGAATGAGGCGACGGAGCTACGCAGCTACCTACTGAACTGCATCTCTAGTGCTTTTCTGCGAACTACCCCGTGGTTGAGTTCTGTGTTGCGGCTCGACACGCTGCAAAGGGGTGGGAGAAGCAAACAATCTTGGAAGCTTGCGAGAGGAAAAAGCATTGCTTCATTGCTTTTTCCTCCGGTCGGCCATTCATGATCGGTCCCCTTTTTCCTGAATTTAGGCTATTGCAGGTGATTGATAGCCCCAAAGATTCTTTTCATTGGTCGATCTGCACGAGTCATTGCTGTGGGTGGGTCCGACCCCTTTCCAAATTACCATCATATAGGTTATTGCGCGTGATGATTTGAGCGGTCGCATAAAGCCAACAGACCTAATAAGAATCCAGTACCAAGTACTCTGTTGAAAGACTGCCTCAGGAGCTGGATCTTGAAACTAAACATTTGGCTTGAAGTGACCGGGCATATTCCGTTGTGCTGTTTAAGAGATTGGTTAAATGCTGAATTCTACGGTTGTTTGTGGCTACCCGCAAGGATCTCAGTTCAGATACCGTGGACCTATATTTGGGGCGGTTTTATCACGGCGCTTACTTGTCAGCCTTCCTTGTTTTCATCTGCCATTGGCCGCCATTTGTGACGTGTAGTGTGCGGCTGAGCAGCTAAGCATACCTAGCCTCCGCTTTGACCTCTTAAACAAAGCATCGAGAACCATAGTGAAGTTATCGATTACCCCGCTTGATCTCCTAGCAACACAACCTGGTGTCCATCTTTGCTGCAACCTTCAGTTATGGCGTCTTTTTGCCCACCTCCTTGCTAATTATCACTGAGACATTCTTGCAGCCACCGAGCCCAATTGTCGTTGTATGTATTCTGAGAATAATACACTTTGATTCCAGCGCAACGGGCATCCTCTGCTCGATTGATATCACAAAGTCCTCGGGGAACTGCAGCATCCACTCGGTGATGGGATGCACGAATGCCGGCCCCCCTCTTGATGCAGGCCTCCGGAGCAGAACTTCGTCGGATTTACACGCGATTATCTCAATAGCCAAAGTATGAATTGCCTGCTGGGTACAATCCGCGACCCGGAGGCTCACCAGTTGTCGAATATTCGAGGAGTTGAACCTGTGCTCGCTCAGCTCACCTTCCTGACTCACACAGTCTGGAACCAAGAAAAGAGGGAAACTTTATGCGAGGACCTTCACAAAATGAGCAAAGTTCTAAGTGAGTCCGACCAGGCAGAATCAAAAGGAGGGCAGGCTCCAGTTACCGACCAGCCGAGCCCGCAGGGGGGCTGCCGTAGGGTGCGGGTTCGGCCCGTAGTGTACCATTTCTCCCAGCTCGCGGCTCGAGCCGCGCCCTTGTTGCATGTTCGATTCTTTTTCCTTTTTAAATGACAAACTCACTACGCCTTAACCAGACTGAAAATCACCAGAACATGTTCTTGGTGCCAAGGAACGACCTTTTCCGAGCTTCGGTTCCGCGCATGCCAATTATGAGCTGTGATGAGAAAGGTGAAGCCTTACTCAGGCTCACCAAGGGATGCTAATAAGTATTAATTGACGAGTCTCCATTGAACTGTCGTTGATGAAGCCTGCATAGCCAGGTATTCAACCATAGGTACAGTTATCAACCACCCCTTGCTCGTGAGGTCATTCAAGGGGGAAGACAGCACACGAGAGGACATATCAATTCATCGGGTATCATTAACTAGGTCCAAATCCTTGCGCAAGGACCGAAAAACATCAACTGGACTTTTGACAACCAACGACTCCTCATTCCCAACTGCGAATGTACACTACTGTGTGCATCTGTGCTCCGCACAATCTACGACGCAGCAATCGGCTCCTGACTTCCATTCGACTCCACCACCCTTAGAATCTCCGTCTTCTTCGTGATCCCGCGGTGGCCCCAGCTCCGCGGAACCAGGTCGAAGGCCGCGGACTGCCTTGAGTCGCCGTGCCGGCTGTCTTGGCTCTTCGAAATCAGGGAGCGGAGCCTCCACAACTTGCGCAGAGAGGACAATGATCCGGACATGAGGCCGAGGTTGAACTCGATTTCCATCCAAATCAGGGACATGGATGCGGAATCTGACATGTCAGCGGTCTTCTTAGAGCAGGGAGGGGGAAGGGGGGAGGGGGGGGATGACACATACAGGTGAAGTTTGTCGTGTCGTTGGCGAATTTGAGGGTGGAGAAACGCACGAGTGCCGCTACGCATGCAGTGAAACCTACACGTCCATCATTTAGCCTCAGGGTATAAGATCCGCAAAGGGGTAAGGCACACCAATGCACAACAGCCCAATCACCAACAACCGCTTCTTCATGGGCATCTGCAGTTGCCAGATGGGTCTCATGGGCAGGATCAAGATGATCACGTCCAGCACGAACATAACGACGCCCTGCATCATGAGAATCGCGTAGGAGGTCTCCGGGGTGTAGCAGGTGGCGTGGGTGAGGGTTTTATCGTACGCCGCCTGCACGGGCCGGCATTGGAAGACCAGCGCCAGGGTGCCGGAGAGGGTGAAGGCGGCGATGACGCCCAGCAGACAGCGACCGACGAGGTGGACGAATCGGGTGGGGAACAGGCGCATGATGAAGAGGAGAAGACTGGCTTTCACGGTGGCGGCGATGACGAGGTAGGCGCACTGCGAGGCATATTCCAGCTGAATGGGTTTTAGTAACGATCGCAATTTCATTCGAGGGCCACTGACGGTGAGAAAGACCACGAGCTGGTCGGCGGAGACATCTTGCAGCGGCTCCCCCAGCCCGTAGTACGTGATTGTGTATGCCAGCGCCGAAAACAAATCTACCCCGATCTTGTCGACAATGTCAGTTGGTTGAGGTTGCCACAGACGATGCTCTGCATCACTTACCAGCCCGATGAGCACGAGCCAATCATCCAAACCAAATTGCTTGGTCACGAACTTGCGCAGGTACAACTGTCACCACTTTAGCCGGCTGGGTCCTGCGATGGGTCAACTGGGGAGAGGGAGAGCAAACCCGCAAGACACAGACCAAAGTGGTGGGAATCGCCAGAGCCAGCACAACAACCCGCACAGCAATGGTCATATGCGACGTGCCGCTGCCATCACTGCGTGGGTGTAGAAGGCTCTCCATGCTCACCAGCAATTGTGAATCCAGAGGGTCAGTCACATCGACAAACGGTTGAAAAGAAACAGACGAAGAAGACAGAGCGGGAACCGTGGGGGAGCGGACGGGCAGGGAGTTTGTGCAAGCCTGCAAAAGGCCCTGAAGGATCGCTTGCGGAATCGCAGCAGTGGGTCGTACTGGGTCAATGGTGAGACCCTAACTCCCTTTTCATTTAAACCTCCCGTCCATATCGAGCTGGCATTGGGTTTTAGTTGCGGTCCGTCGACGGTCCGGCTGGGATAGCGTCGACGTCGTGCCGTGACAATCCCCACTTGCCAAGGGGGCTATGGGAAACGGCGCCTCGGCATGAAAGACGAGACACTCTGGATTTGATTAAAACTCGTTCCGTCTCCCTGTTCCCACGTTTTGCATGGAGAATTAAACACGCCTCCACCCCCCTCGGAGTTTTTCCCGCCGCAGCCACCATGACTCCGACCGCAGCTGCCATCCTCTCTGCTGCCCAGCTAGATGTCGAGCGCCACAGCCAGCTTGAGGCTGTTCTCGCGGCGTACACTGCCATTCCTGACGCCGAGAAATACCAGCAAAGAGGGTCCTATGTGTCCCAAGCGTTTGCTCTGTGCTTCCCCAGCCACAGCGTGGCGCCAGGGGCCAGTGGGTACGAGTCCCAGCGTCGAATGCCTTGGTATGTGCACCGCACCAGACCAACTAACCACAAATCCCCCGATTGGGCACTCATCGATCAGCGCAGGTCCACCAATTGCTGGCTTCAGCCCCAAGTGATTGTCTCTCCGTCATCGGCGCCACAGGTTGCGACTGCGCTGGCTCTGTGCCGATTCTTCCACGTGAAGTTCTCCATCCGCGGTGGAGGCCGGCTGCAGATCCCCGGGTTCACCAGCAACGAGGGCGGCGTGGTCATTTCACTGAGTAATTTCAACCATATCGAACTGTCGGACGACAAGGGTGTTGCCAAGATCGGCGTGGGCCTGCGGTGGCTGGACGTCTACCGAAGTCTAGAAGCGCACGGTGTGGTTGTGGCCGGCGGCCGCGTCCCGGATGTGGGTGTGTCGGGTTTGTTGCTGGGAGGAGGGATATCATTCCAGAACAGTCAGTATGGCATGGGCGCAATGAACGTGTGCAACTACGAGGTATGGTCGGGATCTGATGTTTCTCGTTGTTTCATCCCCAACCCTGACCCTACCGGTCGCAGGTCGTTCTCGCCGACTCCCGGATCGTGAATGCCAACGCGCAAGAAAACAGCGATCTCTTTTGGGCATTGAAAGGAGGCGGTCCCAATTATGGTTTGTGACTCGAGCCTCCAAGGTTCAAATCAACTCGTCTGACTGAATTTCAGGAATCGTCACTCGGATGGACATGGTAACCATCCCCAACCAGATCTGGGCGGAGGTTCAGATCTACCCGCCCACCGCCAGCGAGCAACTGCTGGACGCACTCATGCAATACCACCAAGCCATCGAGACTGACAACAAGGCGACTCTGATCTGGAACGCGACCGACCAGTTCATTCTCGTCGTCTACGTCTACTGCGCCCCTATCGAACGGCCTGCAGTCTTCGAGCCTTTTTACAACATCCCCTCCGTCGCCACCTTTGTCCCCGCCGGGGTGCGGTCTGTGTACGATCTCGTGCAGGCTGTCGCATCGGTCAATGAGGCCGAACCAACCCTGTAAGCTCTTTTCATTTTCATACAGCAGCACATACTGATCCCGGGGGATAGTCACGAATTCCGCACCATGTCCAGCCGACCGTGCCTGGAGGTCTATCGCGCGATCGAGAAAGCCCACGCAGAGCATGTGGAAGCACTGAAGGACGTCGAGGGGCTGACTCTGACCACCGTCTTCCAGCCAATGTCCTCGCTGGCGATGCAGGTCTCCGCTAACAGTCCACTGGGCTTGGAGCCGGTAGGCCAGCAATGTACGTCCTTTTCTCCCCGCCTATGGTTTATGGTGCCTTTGGACGTGGCTAACATGGTTATAGGGTTCCTGGCGCGAGCCGACTGGAAGCATGCGCAAGATGAACACCGAGTCCGACAGGCAATCCGCTCGATCGTGGACGCAGCGGAAGCAGCGGCCAAGGAACACGGGGTGTACCTCCCGTACAAGTACTCCAACTATGCGGCGCGCGATCAGGATCCACTGGCTAGTTACGGCGCGGAAAATGTGCGGCGGCTTGGTGAGGTTGCGCGCAAGTATGATCCCGACGCGGTGTTCCAGATGCTGCAGAATGGGGGGTGGCTGCTGAGCAGAGGAGGTTGGAATGGGGGGCCGCTTAATGAAGCAGCAGAGTAAAGATTGTATTGTACAGTAATGAACTTCCCCTCGGCGGCCTGTCTCGGAGGACTCTTGCCCTAACTCAAAGCCCTATCTCGCATCAGCAGTCACCATCCTGTCCATCGTAGATAGACCACCCGACATGCAAACTGCTACTCGGCACCAAAAACTGTCATATTGTAATACACCCCTTGCATGCGAGAACGCAAGCCACAAAATGTGGCGGACCGACTCCCGCCCTCAAATGACTTCATGAACCAAATCAACCCCTTGATCCAACCATGACATCACCCCCCCTCCGGCCAAAAGCATAAATACCATACATAAACCAGCCAGCATATCCACCAAATCCGCATTCCTCCAACATCTAGCCCTATACGTAACCTTCTATCTCAGTCACTCTTCCCCTCCGCCCCCCCATTTCGAACAACGATACCGCCGAAATGCCATCAACAACCACCCCACACCCCGCGCAACGCGCCGTCGAACCCCACCCGACCCCACCCCTGGACCCAACCACACACCAACCCTCCTACGCCCCGAACCCCGACGCCTCCCTCCCCTTGTCCCCAACCCGCCAAGCCATCCAGCGCCACATCCTGAATTTATACGGCGGCAGCGCCTCCGCCTCGGACATGCAGGTCTACGCCGAGCAAGCCGTCTACGACGACCCGCTCAGCTACTGCGACACGCGCTACAAGATCGCGGGCCAGTGGTACGGGATCCCCAAGCTGTTCGCGCGGTCGGAGACGCTGGCCACCGAGGTGGTGGCGTCGCCCGACGACGAGCTGGTGTGGAAGCAGCGCCAGCGGTATACGGTGGCCGGGGTGCATGCGTCCAAGGTGGTGGATAGTCTGGTGAGTTTGCGGCTGGAAGCTGTTGGGGGCCAGGAGAAGGTGGTGTATCATAAGGATATGTGGAATGAGAAGGATTATGATCATGAGGGATTCGGGGCGTGGGTGAAGAAGCTGAATGGGTTTGTTTTCCCCTTTCTTTCCGGGGGTGGCTGTGGGGATTTGGGAGGTGTTTGAGGGTCTGGGGATGGTTGAGTGTGCTTGGCTAATTCTCTGATTAGGGATAAATTGACGCATGTTACGCAACCGCCGGAGGAGATTTAGAGGGTGGATTCTGTTGTGGGGTGGTTGGCTGGAGGGGGGTGAGTAGGGCTTGTGGGGATTTTCTGATGTAGATACGTGTTTGGGACTCTGTGTTTGGTGTTTGGACGGTGCAGCTGCAGGGTACAGTAAAGCTATGTTGGGCCTTTTCCGGCTGCGGAGGAGGTAGTGTAGATGATGTTGGTTGTAGGATAGTTTTGGTCGATTCAGACCTTATCTACAGTACAGCGATTTATTGTTGCTGGTTTTGCTTAGCGCAAAGATGGTTTGTTTTCTTAGGCGGTATTGGAATTTATAGAGTACAAATATATAGCAAGAAGCTAATCCATTTAGGCTTATTGCTATCAGATTAAAGTTTCCTGTACGCTATGTTTCAGCTTTCTAAGCTCCTTCTCCTCTTCCGAGAGGGTCACCTCTCTACTTTGATGCAAAGCATAGCAGTTGGTGTACATTTCTAGGTGGAAATGTTTAAATTCATACAAAAGAGAGTGCTACTCCAGGTTACTGGTTTGTGGTTAATCGATTAAATGTGTGCAATTCAAGGTGGCTTCAGAGAAACCTATAATATCGGGTGACTTGGTTAAGTCCTTTCCATAGGTGAATTTGCCACAAATGCTGCTGTAATCAGTCAAGGGCCTAGCAGGATCTCTTTTTTCATTACGTCTAGTATGTATCAGTTCTATTAGACTTGATGATCTGCTTATTTGACTATTTGGAACAATTCAAGACGGTGGTGACCGATATAGTTCCCGTGTCGGACGAGAGATCCGCCGCCATAACGCCATAGTGGAGCCGGATTACCCCAGACCCCTTGCTCGCATATCGTTGGTTCAGCCCACTGCTCATCCCGCCTTATACCCAAACAGAGTACCATGCCATGCATGCTGTTACTCGAGGGCACGCGTCTCAAGCGCAGATAAGACGTTTTCGCTGCGCAAAGCACGGGCTGGGGCAACCCGACATCGGAACAGTTCCGAATCTTTGGCCACTCAAATAATCCAGCTCATCCTGGCAGCCATCACAACTGAAGAGCACTTCGTCCCGTCACTCCCACCTAACCTTCTCATCTGTAGTAGTTGACACCTCGGCCATCAAAATGACGATCCGACAAAAACCCCCACCGCCCCCGAACATCGTCTTCATCATGGCCGACGACCACGCCTCGAAGGCCATCTCCTGCTTCGGGGCCAACATCAACCACACGCCGCACCTGGACCGGCTCGCGCACGAAGGCATGCGCCTTAACCACTGCTACGTGACCAACAGCATCTGCACGCCGTCGCGCGCGGCGATCCTGACGGGCACGTACAACCACGTCAACGGGGTGCTGACACTCGCCTCGAAGATCAACAAACACCTGCCCAATGTGGCCAAGCACCTGCGCAGCAGTGGCGGCTACCAGACGGCGATGGTGGGGAAATGGCACCTGGGCGAGGGGAAGCCCCACGAGCCGACAGGGTTCGACTACTGGTCCATCCTGCGGGGCCAGGGCGAGTACTTCGACCCCACGTTCATCGGACCCGACACGCCGGCCGCGGGCGTCACGGAGGAAGGGTACGCGACGGACCTGATCACGGACAAGAGCATCGCGTTCATCCGGAACCGCGACCGCGCGCGCCCGTTCTTCCTCATGTGCCACCACAAGGCGCCGCACCGCAGCTGGGAGTGCGACCCGCGCCACAAGCACCTGTACCGCGACCGCATCCGCGTGCCCGCGACCTACTCGGACGCGTACAAGCACCGCGCCCGCGCCGCCCAGATCGCCAAGATGCGCGTCGCCGAGGACATGACCTACTTCGATCTGGGGCTGGCGCAGCCCGACGGCGGGGCCCGGCAGGTCGGGGAGCGCATGTTCGACGGCCGGCGGAAGGTGCCCGCCCCGGAGACGGAGGAGGCGATCCGCAGCCTCAGGCTGGTGGACGTCGACGACGGCACGGTCTTCACGTTCCAGACGGCCGCCGAGCTCGCCGACTTCAAGTACCAGCGGTATATGCAGCGATACCTGCGCACGATCCACAGCGTCGACGAGAACGTGGGCCGGCTGCTGGAGGTGCTGGACGCCGAGCCCGGGCTGGCCGAGAACACGATCGTGGTGTACACCTCCGACCAGGGGTTCTTTTTGGGGGAGCACGGCTGGTTCGACAAGCGGTTCATGTACGAGGAGAGCTTCCAGATGCCGTTTTTGATTAGGTACCCGCGCGAGATCGCGCCGGGCTCGGTCTGCGAGGATATCGTCTGCAATGTCGACTTCGCGCCTACGTTTCTGGACTTTGCGCGGGTGGCGCAGCCGAGTTATATGCAGGGGAGGAGCTTTCGGGAGGTGCTGCGGGGCAACACGCCCGCTGGGTGGCAGCAGGTCGCCTATCATCGGTATTGGATGCATAATGATGCCATCCATGAGGCGTATGCCCATTATGGGGTCCGCGATCAGCGGTATAAGCTAATTTACTGGTATAATGAGCCGTTGGATGTGGAGGGGGCCAGGCCTGGCGGGGAGGAGTATAAGGAGTGGGAGTTGTTTGATTGTCTGGAGGATCCCTTGGAGCTGTTTAATATCTATCATGAACCGGAGTATCGGGAGGTGGTGGGGAGGATGACACGGCTGTTGGAAGCGAAGATGGAGGAGATTGGCGACGAGCCGGAGCATAAGCTGAGAAGCAGGTGATCTGCATAGCTGTAGACGGGTCTCGCCCTGGCCAGTTTTGTATTCTGGATGAGGAACGACTACGGAGAACAAAAATGTTTGTGTAATTGATGTTTGTATCGATGCTGAGCCCGGCAAATCACAAAAAAGGAATCTCCCCGACTGGGAGTCGAACCCAGGTCTCCCGCGCTTGTTCCCGACTGGGATTGACAAGCGGAAATCATGACCGTTAGACCATCGAGGATGTTTCTTGTTTTTTTTCATGCTCTTTGTTCTCAGATCTTACCACCAAATTAGCATGATGTCTATTGCTGTGATGTCCGTCATAAAGCGATCAGTGATTTGCCAAAATCTTACCGGGATGTTATCATATTCGATCTTATCTCTTCTGAAGAATGCATATAATACTCGGTCTTCATCAAAGCAACTGGTCTTTTCGTGGCCAGGTGATATGTGACAAATACATGCTTTCGAGATGTTTCATGGCGGTCATGCTGAATCAAGATATATCTTCTCAGGCCCCTCATGTTAAACCTCCAAACCAAGAAACTCATATCTCAAGCGTCGCACTTTATAAAAGCAAATAGAATTCTATAGCCATTACACTTCTCGAAGAAAAAAAAAAAAAAAAAAA